CGGACTGGAGTATGTTTGCTTCTCAGGCTGCCTGTGGCTCTCACACAGACATTGATATCTATACCTCCTCTGTAATGGATTACATCAACACCACCATTGACTGTGTTACAACAGAGAAACCGATCACAACATACCCTAATCAGAAGCCATGGATGAACGAGGAGGTGCGACTCCTGCTGAAAGCCCACAACGCTGCCTTCAGATCAGATGACGCGCAGGCCTACAGCAAATCCAGGGCTAACCTGAGGAGGGGCATCAAAAAGGCCAAGTACTGCTACAAGCTAAAGGTAGAGGAACACTTTTCCAACTCTGACCCCCGACGCATGTGGCAGGGCATCCAGGTCATCAGTGACTACAAGCCAAGCAATTCCACTCCAACGGTCACAGACGTCTCTTTCCTTAACGAGCTGAATGACTTCTATGCTCGCTTCGACAGTGACAGCAAGGAGACGGCCACCAAGATCACACTCTCAGCAGACCACCAACCCCTCAAACTCACCTCCACAGATGTCTACACCGCATTAAGCCGGATCAACGCACGCAAGGCTGCTGGCCCCGATGGCATTCCTGGACGTGTGCCTCAACACACTCGGTGGAGGAGCATCGGTCTCAGGCTGTAAACTCAACACACTCGGTGGAGGCGCATCGGTCTCAGGCTGTAAACTCAACACACTCGGTGGAAGCGCATCGGTCTCACGCTGTAAACTCAACACACTCGGTGGAGGAGCACCGGTCTTACGCTGTAAACTCAACACACTCGGTGGAGATGCATCGGTCTTACGCTGTAAACTCAACACACTCGGTGGAGATGCATCGGTCTCACGCTGTAAACTCAACACACTCGGTGGAGATGCATCGGTCTCACGCTGTAAACTCAACACACTCGGTGGAGATGCATCGGTCTCACGCTGTAAACTTAACACACTCGGTGGAGATGCATCGGTCTTATGCTGTAAACTCAACACACTCGGTGGAGATGCATCGGTCTCACGCTGTAAACTCAAAACACTCGGTGGAGGAGCATCGGTCCCACCCTGAAAACTCAACACACTCAGTGGAGGAGCACCGGTCTCACGCTGTAAACTCAACACACTCGGTGGAGATGCATCGGTCTCACGCTGTAAACTCAACACACTCGGTGGAGGAGCACCGGTCTTACGCTGTAAACTCAACACACTCGGTGGAGGAGCACCGGTCTTACGCTGTAAACTCAACACACTCGGTGGAGGAGCACCGGTCTTACGCTGTAAACTCAACACACTCGGTGGAGGAGCATCGGTCTCACTCTGTAAACTCAACACACTCGGTGGAGGAGCATCGGTCTCACGCTGTAAACTCAACACACTCGGTGGAGATGCATCGGTCTCACGCTGTAAACTCAACACACTCGGTGGAGGAGCACCGGTCTTACGCTGTAAACTCAACACACTCGGTGGAGGAGCACCGGTCTTACGCTGTAAACTCAACACACTCGGTGGAGGCGCACCGGTCTTACGCTGTAAACTCCTTCGTCATCAAGTCAACATAAGACACATAGTATGAAGTAATTAATAGCAATAAAAATAACAAGACAAACAATCCAATTTATAAAATACATATAAATAATAGAAATATTATTGTAATATATTTTATATTTTGATATTTAATTTTTTTATTTGGTTTAACTGTGCAGGTGTGTTTATGATAATGAGAATCATAGGAACTGGAAAATTAAACGAAAAACAGTTTTGCTTAAAATAATCAGAGCATTTGTTTTTATTAAACATTGCTGTGCTAAAAAATTACAAAAGTATTTTATATTAACAAAATATATAAATGAAACTTACAAAAAACATGTACAGCAAACAAACACAACTAAAAGGTGTCAAACTGGAGTAACGCCATATTGCCATATTTACTTACTGTACTGTTACTGAATAATCCGTTGAGAAAAAAAGTAAAATATTTTGAACATAATAAAAAACTAGATTTCTGATACAAATCTTTAGTGTGAAAAGTTTAGAACAATAAACCTGAACAATGTCAATGCTTCACATGATTTGTGTCTGAAGCATAACTGGATGTGTTTGTATGATTTCCTTCAGCATACGATGGTGTTTGAGTGGGAAACAGTGCGTGTAATATCTGTGGGATGTGGTGGATGTTGTCGGAGTGTGTGAGGAAGACCACAAGCTTGTGTTTAGGAGAATTTCTTGATGAAGCGCAGCTTGAGGTAAGCGATGATGAGGAAGATGAGGGTCATGATTCCCAGAGCCAAATGATTTTGCCACAAACCCCAGGTTGAGTAATCAATGCCCTGAGCGCTCAGAAAGCCCTCGCCTGTTGAACAGCTGCAATGACAAAATGATGAGAACATGTTGGTTTTCTACACTAGCTACATTCACATGCAACCAAATAATCCGTTAGTAATTGGATTGATGGCTCAATCGGACTGAAAAGCCTTCATTAAGCGATCTAACTGAGCACGATCCACATGAAATTTCAATCAGATTAGAAGGGATGGTGTAGACCTATTCTTATCCAATCAAGAGGACATGTGAACACTTGATCGGATTGAAAACTGAAACGGCGCATGTGCAATGACATAGAAATGGCGTAATGATGCATGACGCATGGAACGAGCTGTTGTTTTTGTAGTGTTGTTCTGTCATAAATGATTGTCACGTTATTTGAAAATTCTCTTTCCACTCATCGTCTGTGAAGTGGAGCAGAACAATGTCCCATCAGTCCTCACTTTATACTCTCATCCACAGAAGGCTTGTTTTGGCCACTAGAATGGGCGGTTTTACTGCTTGAGCATGGCACAAAGCTTCACTTGCTCGTCTTCTCCTAGTTAGGACTCAAAGTAGATAAATATTAAGTCTTCTCTTTGAAACAAAGAAAAGAAGCAATGGCAATGGAATAGTATGTGCAACCAGCAGGAAACTGCATTTTCGTGCAGTGTGCGCATGTCAAAAGATCAAAG